ACTCTGTCCACTTAGAATATTTCCACTATTTTTAGAGATATGAAGTAATATATTTATTGAAGTTGCATAGCATTAAGGGGGATATAATATACCACTAATAATTTTTCTATGAGTGGAGGCGCTTCGAAGATTTCAAGATCATCTCCACTTTTTAAAATGGAATTGTATGATTTTTTAACATGATATGATTTTTATAATTATTCTGCATATAAAAGTATGAAGGTAATGTATAAAAAAACAATAGTTTACAAGATATTTTATACTTAATTCTGGCATACATTGACATGAAATATTAAATAACACATAAATTATTAATTTTTTTTATAATCATATCTTAATACTTTTATGAATAGAGTAATGAGATTAATCAATTCGTATAAAGAAAGCATATAGTTGCTTTAAAAAGAATATGTATGCAAAAAGGATAATTTTTTGAATAAGTGTTATGAGTATTGCGAAGGGAAAATGGTACTGGAAAACCAGGTCCGCTGGTGATGTTGGAATTATACACGAACAATCACGAGGAGTCAGAATGTGTTGGAAAAAGTAGAGACTGAGAGCGGTATAAATGAGATGTGTTTCTGAGCTTTATTCGAGAACGAATGGCAATAGTATAGAATTAAGCGATATACTACCTTGATCAAAAAGTTCCCGAAATTCATTCAGAAAATTAAAAATACAAGTTTATTCATCAAAAGTGATATTGTTCCCTTCAAAGTACTCCCCGTCGACTGCAACCAGGGCCGGCGCAAGGGGGGGGGGCGACCCAGGCAACCGCCCGGGGCGTCAGAACTGGGGGGCGCCGCCTGTATAGTGTGGAAAAAATTTTTCAAAAATGTATTTTTTTCAAGCGAAATCAAAGCGAACACAGCCTAAGAGGCGCTGTCCGCAGCATATAAAGGACAGAACGATAGGCTCTGAGGCGCCTCTCTGTTATTTGCCGGTCTAGTGGGGGAATCGTATGACAATAGGGTCTTATTTGTAAAAATTGAAATGTGTAAAAAAATTATAATTAATTACTTTATACGCTTTTTATTAACTTAAAAATAATTTAAAGTGATATTAATAATAGGATTTTTTATTAAAAACGATTAAAAGTGCTTAAAAAATGAGTGGGGAGTGACGGAACGCAATATGATTGGCCGTGACGTCACGATTCAGCAGAGCCCGGTAAGTTTAAACGTTGTAAATACATACTTCATGTAAATGACACATACATAAGATATATAAACAAAACAAATGTGATATTTAACGGATCATGCGAATTACTAAGGGTGCGTTCCGTTTCTTGCATGATACGCATAATGCATCTTTTATCCTTGTTATTCACCGAATGTTAAACAAGGATAAATGATGCATTATGCACATCATGCAAGAAACGGAACGCACCCTAAGTAATCAGTTACAACATGGCGAGAAATATTACAGGTTTTGTTAAAGCTCAATCGGATAATTTACCAAAATTAAACGTTTTAATGGTTGCTGACTTTTTTAGTGAAAATGAATTTTTTAACGTGGCAGAGACAAGAGGTGTTAAAGCTAAAAGGTGTTTACACACTTTACATACATTCAATATATATAAAAGTTTAATATAGTTCCACAATCAATATCTGTATTTTACAGGGCTGAAGGTAAAGATTATGGTGATGCAGCTGTGGGATACGTTGAAGTAAAACGTGAAGGTAATTTCTGCCAAGTCCGAGGGAAAATATGTCCTGAACATAGAGTAAATAATAAACCTTACTCTGTATCGATGCTTGTTAACGAAGAGATAGACAAGGTCGAATATGTTCGATGCGAAGACTGTGCAGCTTCCGAAGGTAATTTCTTATTAAAATGAACTTAGTCACTACTCTAAATTAATATCTGAAATCAGTACAAATTACTAAATTATATATTATTTTTTTTGCACAGGAGGTTGTAAACATTCGGTAGCTTTCTTAATGTGGGTTCACCGTCGGAGCGAAGAGCCAGAACCTACAGCTACCGTATGCTACTGGAAGAAGCCAGTGTTAGCACAAATAGGAAGCAATGTAAGAGCCATGAAAGCTAAAGATCTGGTAAAGAATGAGAGAAGTGCAGTAGATCTTCCTAATAATACTGGTTTCCTGCAGGGTCTTGTACAAGAGATGAAAAATAGAAATTTCGATTGCCAACTGTCTCGTCATTTTCTAACAGTGGAATCATATAAAGACTTATCAATCCACTCTTTATTGATTTCCTTCTGCAATTCATCTCAATGTAAAGATGCGAATAGTTTTTTGAACTTTGCAAGAGAAGAAATGATAAAAAAACCTTATAAAGAAGTTGCAAAAGCTACCATAGAGCAAAGCAAATCAACTTTGTGGCAAGAGCTGCGGTACGGTAGAATAACAGCTTCCAAAATATTTGAAACATCTCGTTGCAAGAAACCTGCAGGATGTCTCGTGGAGCAAATTATTGGAGCCTACAAATTAAGAGACACTGATGCGATGGAACGAGGCAGGCGTTTGGAGGAACAAGTACTGGCAATTCTGGAAGAAAATCTGCAAACAAAACTACAAAGAGTAGGTTTGTTATTACATCCGGATCTTCCCATCATCGGTGCCTCTCCTGATGCCCTCGGTGAAAATTTTGTTGTGGAGGTCAAATGTCCACAATTTTTAAAATCTGAGGAGAGGTATATAAGCAAAGAAAATGCCATCTGCAGCAAATATATGGCTCAGATTCAATTGCAAATGCTCATGCAAAATGTACAAAGAGGATACTTTTGCATTGCGAAGCATGATTTCGAAGCCTCACAAAATATTATAGTCGTGTGTGTTGACTTCGATGAACAATTTATTAATAAGGTTGTTGCTGATGCCATGACATTCTGGAAACAGAATATTTTTCCTGTACTTATTAATGGAATTAAAAGATAATAAATATATACAAATGTAAATATTGTAAAATTATATTTATTGTGTTATAAGAGGAGGCTGGAGATTTATTAAACCCACAGCCACAACAATCATATCATCTACTAAATGTAGCATGTTATGGTGAATAGTAGAATGTGGTTTTAATATATGAAATTCTCGAATTCTTCTTATTACCCTTTCAACATGAATTCTCAAACTAGCTATTCGTCGAGTCTCCATTACTTCATCTTTTGTAGGTTTTGAGTTGCTCGATACGCTAGGTGGTCGAATTAGAATGCATCTTTTTCTTTGTAGAAGGTGATCAATATTTTTAAAACCTCGATCAGCCATAACTGAAGTATTTTCTGGTAGTATATTTAAGTATCCACTGAGTTCTACAATTGTAGCATCAGTCGTTCTTCCACAGAACCCTTCGGATACAAAATTAATGACTCCATCCGGTGTCATTGATATTAGGTACTTGATGGTATTGCATTTTTTATACTCCGACCAAGTCACACTTTGATTTATTGCTTTACCAGGTTTTTGGATTTCGATTTCCATGCAGTCTATTATTGATTGCACATGACTGTATCTAGCACGAAATGGCACTGGTAAATTTTTCATTATCGACTCTGCCGAAGGCCAAATAATCAAAGTTTTCAGGTAATGTGCTAAAATTGGAAGAGTTCTACCAAAAACGGAACTTGCATTACTTACACTTATACCAAATTCATCAGCTAATCGAGTCAACTGGTCATTACTTTTTATTTTACATATTGTTAAGCATATTTCAGGTATGCTTATACCTGTTACTGTATTTAAGTACTCGATAATAAAAAATGCATCATCTGGAATTCCTAAATATAATTTTGGTTTACTGCGGATGATTGATATCTTCATATTTCGTATAATTTTTTGTTGTTCGAAATCTCTGTCTTTTCCAGCCTCTTCGCTTGTTTCCTCTGATGGTAAGTATTCATCATCACAATCATCCAGAGTGTTATCGAGTAAACCAGATATAGCTATGCTGATTGATGTTGAACCTGACATCGTAGCAGTTTCGCACAATTTTTTCTCCGTACAACATGAGGCATCTTTCATAAGTGGTACGCTTTGAATCCCTTTACTTCTGAAATATTTACTTCGGTCATGCAAGTTAACTTGTGTACCAACACTTTTGCATTCAACTTTTTCAGTGCTAACTGCATTTGGTACGTTAACCTCATCAATTTCAAAAGGATGATCTGGAATGAAACTAGTTATATAGAGCTCGGTTGACAAATTTACTGACATTTACGCCATGCATATACATTATAATATAAATTAAAATGCGTACCTGTTTCAGTATCATGAAGTAATAATAGACTTGAAATATCTATAACTCTATCATGATCTCTATTGTCAAATTCAAAAGTTCCTTTTGAAGTTGATGGACGATCTGTAAGTATTACATTATTTATTATATTCACATATAATGTAATTCGATAATATTAATTTTTATTTGAATGATACCAATATTAATAACATTAATGTTGCTTGCATCTGATGTTTCTCGATGAGGCTGGCAAGCAAATTTTGTCGGCATAACTCCATTCTTTAAGCGAATGAGTACGTTTGGAATGAACCTGACTTGCATGTAATTTTCAACATCCTCCTCTAACTGCAAACATAAAATCAATTTATTTTGAATTATTTAGGATTAATTTATTATATTTTAGGTATATGACTTACATTGAAATGGTGTTCACAACAAAACAAACTACTAGTCAGCGATATAGTTGAAGCATCAGTTCGGCCTGAGATTTCGAACCATTTTCTTCGAATCTCTCCTTTTGGCACTGACAGGAAAATTGTTGATGGAGAACAGATATTGTTTTGAGTGCATGAAGGCACAAAACACCACTTGTAATTTCTTTTTTTCTCTGCCATTACTCGTTTCTGCAAATTTTCTGCCATTTCACATCGGTTTATGTAAATTTTAAATCAACTGTCAACAACAGCTGTCACCGACCTAACCTAACTTATTTTAATAAAATAGTGAATATTTAGTCATAAAAAAATTATATTTATAGATTTAAATTATCTGCATTGTTCATAAGATCCATTTATCAATATTAGCAATACTCATTTACGGCCAAAAAATTATTAAAAATTATTAAAAAACAGAGGAGCGAAAAGAAAGTGTGATTGGCTTATAGCGTGTGACGTCACGATTCAGCAGGATATGGCGCGAATAAATGAGCGTTCAAAACATACGTGATTTTTAACTTATTAAAAAAAATTATTGATTGATTTTTAGTAACTTTTGTTATTGTAACTTTTGTTTTTACGGGTAGAAGCATTGTTTTAGATAAAAAGAAAATATTCGAGGAAGACCCTATTCCCCTCAACTGCTAAGGCTCGAGCCCCGGCGCGCGGCGCCCCCGGCGACATCATACGATTCCCCCAACAGACCGGCAAATGACAGACAGCGCCACAGAGCCTATCGTTCTGTCCTTTATATGCTGCGGACAGCGCCTCTTACAGACTGCTGGGTTTATCTGGGCTGCATAGTGCATAGGCATAGGTGGGCCGAACGCTTGCCCCCCCCCCCCTCTCAGCACGCGCTGACGACGCGCACGCGTAGTTCTCTTCATAACGCGCGGTAGTCGGGTAGTGGAACGTACCTCTTGAAAGAAAAGACGCGTCCGCAGGTCCGCTGGGACATATATGAGCAGCCCCAAAACAGATTTTTACTCCTTTATTTTTAACAATGCCTTTCAAAAAATTATTTGGCTCCGCTTATCGGAAAAGAAATAAAATACGCGTTAAAAGCAATAAAACTTCTGCAAAATTTTTGGCAGGATTTCTGCATACAGAAATTCAAGCTTCAACTTCACGAAATCCAACAGAAAATGTTGAAAATCTTTTAGATACTGCGACTATTTCCCCTAATTCTTCTGCCGAAAATGATATTATTTTCACTCATTGTCAGAAAGATGAGCAACAGTCAGAGCAAACATCACCTGTTAAAGAAATAAATATGGAGCTTGATAATAAGGAAGGCATGAATGATAATGAAAATGATGAAATAATGAAAGACTTGAAATTTGACTATACAAATATCGAATCATGGCCTTCTTTTATATCTAAAAGTATTCGAGATCATATTGTTAGTATGAAATTTTCAGCTGAAGTAGACAAGGAATATAAATATCCTTTAAATTCTGAGAAGCGCCATTTTTCAGCTGATCTATTTTACAGGAATATGCATAATAAAGAATCATTTTTGAGATCATGGATGTACTATTCAAAAAATGCCGATAAAGTATTTTGTATATCTTGCAAACTATTTAATACGAATAGTAGATCTTTCTTGACAACTACGGGAAGTAACGATTGGAAGCACATTTATGAAAATTTAAGATCGCATGAAAATTCTCCTGAACATTTAAAACATTTTATCAATTGGGTCGAAATAAGTCAAAGATTAAACACGCATAGCAGCATAGATGAAAATTTACAAAAGGTTATCAGACAGGAGCGCGACCACTGGCAGACTGTTTTAGATCGCTTATGTAATATTATTCTTTATATTACGAGAAATAATTTAGCATTGCGTGTCTCTTCCGACAAATTGTATACACCAAATAATGGAAATTTTTTAGGATTGGTGGAATTACTTGGAAAATATGATATGACCCTTCACGAACATTTGAGACGCATTGTATGTAAAGAAACTCACGTCCACTATTGCAGTCATGAAATTCAAAATGAGTTAATTTCTTTATTAGCTTCTTCAATTAAGTCACTTATATTAGAGCGTGCCAAACAGGCCAAATATTACAGTATAATTTTAGATTGCACTCCAGACATAAGTCACATCGAACAATTATCGTTTACTTTGCGATTTGTTGATGTTTCTTCAAAAGAAATATCAATTAAAGAACATTTCATTACTTATGTACCGATTGAAGACTCCACTGGGCAATCTTTGTATGAAACTACACAACAAATTTTACAAAAAAGTAATTTGGATATTAGAAATTGTAGAGGACAAGGATATGACAATGGATCAAACATGAAAGGCAAAAATAAAGGAGTTCAAGCTCGTATGCTTCAAGAGAATCCACGAGCTTTTTTTATGCCTTGTGGATGCCATAGTCTGAATCTCGTTTTAAGCGACAGTGCTATTTCTTGCACTGTGTGTGACATTTTTTGGAATAATACAAAGGGTCTACACTTTATTTTCCGCCTCTGTCGGGAGATGGAAAATTCTTACAGATAGTTTGCCATTCTTGACAGTGAAACCCTTATGCATTACTCGTTGGGAGAGCAGAATCAATTCTTTAAAATCTTTTCGTTTCCAAATAGTTGAGATTCACGATGCTCTCATAACACTTAGTGAAAATGTTTCATCAGATGCTGCTATTAGACATGAGGCTCAAACATTAGCAACACAAATATGTGACTTCGAGTTCATAGTCACTCTCGTAATTTGGTACGACATTTTACATCAAGTGAATATTGTGAGCAAAAGTATGCAATCTATTAATATGGACTTAAACTCTGCTGTAACACTATTAGATTCGTGTATTAATTATATTCGAAAGTATCGAGTTTCTGGATTCGAAAGAACATTAGTAGATGCTAAACAACTAGCTGAAAACCTTGACGTAGATGCTGTTTTTGTAGATAAAAGAGTTCGAAGAAAAAAGCGTGCAATTATGTACGAGATACCAGATGAGATAATGACTGATCCACATGAACGTTTTAAAATATGCGTTTTTAATGTAATATTGGATAAAGCAGATGTTTCGTTAAACGAACGATTTAAACAGCTAAAATCTTTCGAAGAAACTTGGGGGTTTTTATTTAAATTAAAAGATTTGCCGATAGTCAGTGAGTTGGAGAAATTGTGTCAAAATTTGGAAACACAGTTAAGCGATGATACAGACCAAGATATAAACGGTAAGGAGTTATGTGTGGAACTACAGTCGGTAAGTTCCTTATTTCCCAAAGACGTGAATACTCCACTG